TTTTTGAGATGGAGTCTCACTCTGTCTCCCAGTCTGGAGTACAGTGGCGCGATCTTGGCTCACTGCAACCTCTGCCTCCCAGGTTCAAGCAATTATCATGCCTCAGCCTCCTGAGTAACTGGGACTACAGGCATGCACCACCACACCCAGCTAATTTTTTGTATTTTTAGTAGAGACAGGGTTTCACCATGTTAGCCAGGATGGTTTCAATCTCCTGACCTCATGATGCGCCCGCCTCACCCTCCCAAAGGGCTGGGATTACAGGCATGAGCCACCACGCCCGGCCTAATTTTTGTATTTTTAGTAGAGAGGGGGTTTCACCGTGTTGGCTAGGATGGTCTCCAACTCTTGACCTTAGGTGATCCACCTGCCTCAGCCTCCCAAAGTGCTGGGATTACAGGGGTGAGCCACCGTGCCTGGCTATATTATTTTATTTTTTAAGAGACAGATCATGCCACTGCACTCCAGCCTGGGTGATAGATAAAGCCAGATCTTGTCTAAAAAAAAAAAAGAAAAGAAAAAACGGTGTCTCACACTGTTGCCCAGGCTGGAGTGCCCTAGCATGATCATAGCTCACTGAAGCCTCAAACTCCTGGGATCAAGTGATCCTCCTGCCTCAGCCTCTCAAGTACAGTACTGAGATTAAAGGTGCCCACCACCAGGCCTGGCTATTTTTTTTACGTGTTGTAGTTGACCAGTCTGATCTCAAACTCCTGGCCTCAAGCAACGCCCCCTCCTGGACCTCCCAAAGTGGTGGGAATTACAGACACGAACCATTACTCCTGGCCAAATTATTTCATCTGTAAAAACTTAAATATGTGGTCAGGCGCCCTGGCTCACACCTGTAATCCCAACACTTTGAGAGGCCGAGATTGGCGGATCACGAAGTTAACAACTTGAGACCAGCCTAGCCAACACAGTGCAACCCCGTTTCTACTAAAAATATAAAAAAATTAGCCGGGCTTGGTGGCTGAGGCCTGTCTTCCCAGCTACTCGGGAGGCTGAGGCAGGAGAATCCCTTGAAACTGCGAAGCGGAGGCTGCAGTGAGCCGAGTTTGCGCCATTGCACTTCAGCCCAGGCAACAGTGTGAGACTCGGTCTCAAAAAAAAAAAAAACAAAAAAACAAAAAAACAAAAAAAAACCACAAACACTTCACTATGTATCTCAAAGAGGTAAGAACTTGTTTTTAACAGAATTACAAGCCTGTATAACACAGAAATACAAAAAATAATAATAACATAGAAATACAGTATCCTGGGCACTGTGGTTGACGCCAGTTAAGTCCAGCACTTTGGGAGGCCGAGGCAGGCGGATCACTTGAGGTCAGGAGTTAGAGATCAGCCTGGCCAACATAGTGAAACTCCGCCTCTACTAAAAATACGAAAAACAGCTGGGCGTGGGGGCACACGCCTGTAGTCCCAGCTACTCGGTAGCCTGAGGCAGAAGAATCGCTTGAACTGGGAGGCGGAGCTGGCGGTGAGCCGAGACTGCGCCACTGCACTTCAGCCTGGGCAAAAGGGCGAGACTCCGTCTGGAAAAGAAAAGAAAAGAAAAGAAATACAATACCTGAAAAGTTTTAGTAATTCCTTAAATCAGTTATCTTTGAATTATTATCCAAAAAAGATCCACACATTGTAACAGTACATTTTGTTGATGTATCCCTTAAATCTCTTTTATTCTGAAGTGTTTTCCCCTCCCACATTTTCCCCTTTGCCATTTTTTTGAAGAAGACAGATCATTTGTCCCATATAATTTCCTACATTTTGGATATGGTTGATTTCATCCCTACGATATCTTAACATATTTCTACTAATCTCTATGTAGCCTATAAACTGGTAGTTAGATATTGAGGCTTGATCAGGCTGAATTTTTGCTCTGTATTTCCTGTGCATCTCACCAGGAAATGATATGATGGTATGATTGATCAGAGTTCAGGTATCGTTAGCCTGATGCATCTATTATGTTTTGTTTTGTTTAGGCAAGGTCTAGCTTTGTTTCCCTGGCTGGGGTGCAGTAGCGCGATCGCAGTTCATTGCAACCTCCACCTCCCCGACTCAAGCGATTCTCCCACCTCCGCCTCCTGAGTGCTGGGACCCCAGGTGCCGCCACCTAAGGAATGGACGCATTGCCTCCATTTTTTAAATGTCCCTTTCAGGACGCCGTCCCCTTCCTGGTACGCGCAGCGCTGGGAGCAAAAGGGACTTCCGGGAGATCTAGGAAGCCGCTTCTCTTTCTGGCAGGAGGCGGCGTTCTCCCCGCACGCTGCTGAGTCTCTGCGGTTGTAGACCGGAATCCTGCTGACCGGCAGAGTGGATCAGGGAGGGAGGGTCGGGACACCGTGGCTGCAGGTCTGAGGCGAGGCTGCTCCGATGTAGTAGCTCTCTTGGCTGGAGGTGGCCATTCATTCCTGGAGTGCTGCTGAGGAGCGAGGGCCCCTCTGGGGGCTCTGGAAGTCGGTGCCCGGGCCTCAAGGATAGCCCCCTTGCGCTTAACCCAGGCTGCGGCCGGCCTTCTCAGAGAGGAGGGCGTCCTTCCACCCCGCGGCGCAGGTGACCGCTGCTGCCATGGCTTTTCCCCATCGGCCAGACGCCCCTGAGCTGCCTGATTTCTCCATGCTCAAGAGGCTGGCTCGAGACCAGCTCATCTATCTGCTGGAGCAGGTCAGTGCTCGCCTGGCACCTTTACCGCAGCTACAGTTTAGCACTCATTGGATGCATATTTCTTCCTTGCTGTGCCCCTCTGATCTTGTTCTTGGCCCCTAGTATTGTCCTTGGAGTTTCCCCAGCAGGTCCAGAATGAATCCAGGGAGTAGGGAGAGCTGTTTGGAACGTGGCAAGAAAGAATGGAAATCACTCCCCATACAGGCAAGGGAGACACCCTTAATGCCATGCATCCCTAGGGATGGAAAGATGGATAAGACGTCTTTTCCATTAGGGGCCTTCCCACTCCAGTAGCACCTGTATGAAGCGCAAATTACCAGACACAGGTGGTAAATGAGTGCTAGAGCTAGTGTACCCGAAGAGTTCAGAATAAGTGATCATTTCTAGCTAGGGTGATGATCTAGGAGCTTCCAGGAGGTGAGTGTGAATAAGCGTATTTTCTTTGCAGCATAAGCCTGCTTCAGGCAGATGGATTGGTAGAAGCAAAGTTGATAAACCATGGAAAGACAAGGCATGACCAGGGAAGACAGCCTTCAGAAGTTACACAGTAGCCACTGAAGGATTTTTTTTCCATTTGTGGCATGGGACAATACTAGATGATGATTCTAATAGTGATGTGTGGGATGGAGTAAATGGGGAAAGAGGCCAGTTAGGAGACCATAGCAATAAAGGCCCACACAAAATTGATGGCAGTGGGAATCAAGGGAAATGAGGGATTTTTAAGTTATGGTGAAAGAAAACTCAAAGAATTACTGATTGGTTATAAAGGTTGAAGGGGAAGCAAAAAAGAGTGAGATTTTTAACCTGCTACTGTGATTTTAATGGATTGCTTGTGTAATCATTTAGTTATTCATTTAATGTCCATATTTCTCATTAGATTGGAAGGTCCTTGAGGGCAGGCATCATGTTTGTTTTGTTCAGCACTACCCAGTGAGTACCTAGCTTAGTGTCAAGCACACACCATGTGCTTAACAAGTATTCGTTGTATGAACATTGAATAGCAATGAAAAAAATAATTAGGAAAAGGAACGGGTTTGGTGGGGGAAGTTGATTTGTTTGGGTTTGAATGGGGATGTTAAGATGCCAGTAACAAATGCAGCTTGTAACATCCAGTAGATAGAAATGTAGAACTGGCCGGGCACAGTGGCCCATGCCTATAATCCCAGCACTTTAGGAGGCCGAGGGGGGCGTGGATCACCTGAGGTCAGGAGTTCAAAACCAGCCTGGCCGACATGATGAAAACCCGTCTCTACTAAAGAATACAAAAATTAGCCGGGTGTGGTGGCACATGCCTGTAATCCCAGCTACTCGGGAGGCTGAGGCAGGAGATATCATTTGAACCCTGTAGGCAGAGGTTGCAGTGAGCCAACATGGTGCCACTGCACTCCAGCCTGGCAACAAGCGAGAAACTGTATCAAAAAGAAAGAAGAAAAGAAAGAAATGTAGAACTGCAGGTCCATTGTGAGGGCTGGAAGGAAGGAAGATGGATGAAGATGAGAAATGCATTTCATCTTAGACCAGAATTTCTTTCTTTTTCTTTTTCTTTCTTTCTTTTTTTTTTTTTTTTTTTTTTTTTTTTTTTTTTTT